ATATTTTAAAATTTGAACTTTCTAAAATTATTTGTTACGCGAACATTTTCTTGAATTCCGACATTACCTGCGTAAAAATATCTGCGCATCTACATTAGAAAGTTTCTCCCATGATTTAGTAGGTACGTCTCCCGAAATACGCACGAAAATAACGCAGATGCTACTTACGATTATTAAAATATAACTTAATAGTAAATACATCGTAGTATCTAGTATTAAACAAAGTCCTGGACCCGGGTCAATTTCAGTAGGCGACTGACACTGTCCTTTTTCAAACGCTCACGAGTTTCTTTTTCGGATTTAGGAAAATTAAAAATAACGCTCAATCATTTATTTTCGAGGGTGATTCAGGATTCCATGTCAAAGTTCTTTTAAAATCTTTGAAGTTAAAAGCGTACTCTTTTACGTATGAATACTTTAACTCTTCATAAAATGAGCATTTTTTTTTTATTTTGAGGTTCGTTTTTGAAGTAATATCAAAAGCCAAAAGTACGATAGTTACAATTGTTGCTACGTAAAAATCATAACCTAAATCATCATCAATTGAAAGTGCAACAAATGAACAAATGAATGTGTTTGCCACTTTGTTTTGTTTCCTTTGTGTCTACGTAGTATGCGGACATGTTGTGCTTGATATTTTAACACCTGGGCACGACAATGGTTTGCATGGTTGCAATTTTTGGCGGATGAGCCGCCTAGATTTCGGGAGCTACGACCGGGTGCAAAAAGGGCTGTCGCACCGCGACGTCATTGGGCGAGAACAGCTGCCGCGTTCTCTGTGTGTACAAATACATTCTATGCTCTTGCCACAAATTCAACCTAAATAAACGGTCGCATAATATCGTCCCGTTGCTGTCCCCGATGCTGTTATGTTAGCGTTCCTGCGAGCGTGACATATTAGTCACTGTTTAATTCTGGACAAGAATAAAATCAAAGTAATCATAGGACACGTACAGGGTGGGCGCATATTATGGCAGTAAATCATTGATGTTGATACATTCAGCTCTCATTCTTTATCGATAGTTACGTTTCGATAATTTCAAGGGATGGAGTCTTCAAAAATATTTCCCCTTTTTGTCAAAAAATATTTTAAAAAGTGACTTAATTATTGTACTGTTATTAAATTGTCCATGCAACTTCATGTTTAATCGTAAAGCGGTAAAGGTCTAGATGATGGCCCCCACTCCCGAAGGGGGTGGGAGTGGGGGAGATCGAAAGAGGAGGTCTCCCCCACCACTGTATCATAAAAAGTTCGTGGCGGTCTCACCCCCATAAAAAGTTATTGGGGTTCAAAGTTAATAAATATGCCAATTTTTATACATTTCTAGGCATGTAAATATTTATATAGTCATTCTTAAACAATATTCAAAGGTAAAACTAATGAAAAATACATAAAAATATTGAGAAAGTTATATAAAACATTATTTAAATATCTTTATCAATAGGGTAGGTTAGGTTAGGTTATCGGGTTTTGTTCAAGTGACCACCCTCTTTCGATCCCCCACCTCCACCCGCTTGAAAATAATTTTTTTATTGAATTTTATTTGAATTATAGTGTATGAAAATTGTCAAAATAATCAACTTTCAACCCCCATAACTTTTTATGGGGGTGAGACCGCCATGAACTTTTTATGGTACAGTGGTGGGGGAGACCTCCTCTTTCGGTGTCACCCACCCCATCCCCGAAGAGGGATATCCACTTTAAAGCCTATGATTACAAGTAAAGAAAAAGGCAGCCCAAAACAAATTTGAATTAGGTTATTTCACAACATTTTCAACAAACAACAATAGAATCCTATATCAATAACGTGGACGTCAACGTAATTGACCCGTAACCCTATTTCATAATTTAATACTTAAATTCGTTCTTTAACGGAGTTAATTTAATTACACTTACTAATTATGCATTGTCTAAGAAATATTATATTTTCAAAATTACACCTTCAGAATCCAGAAAAAAGAATTTATACCAGAAAAATGTACTTGAATTTGCAGCCACCCAGTATGGGTTTCCCCGTAAAACGTACAGTCAGCATGTCTACTAACAGTTGTCCGAGTCGAGAGTGTCACTTTTTTCATTTCGTTTTTGTAAACATAATCCCGCGTGACGTGGCTTTTGCAGAATGAATCGGATTACACGGTGGAAAGATGATGAATTGTTTAGACTAAAATTCCTGTATCGAACTGAGGAATTGGAAGCGGATTTCATTTTTACAGTTCATAGCAATATCTATAGAAGTTTAGAACAGTTTTAATAGGTACCATATTTCTCATTTTCCCTGGAGAAATTGAAAACATTTGTTTGTTGATTGTAATTCAGCTCTACCACAGCCAATTTAATAACTTTCTACGACGGCATGTATCAGTCACTTTATGAGAAATAAACCAGCTTTCAGTGACAAATAAACTTTTTAAAAATGTGATTTCATACGCCACATGTATTGAGAACACAACAAAAAATACTTTTAATTACAAAAATTTTTCTTCAGTTTGATGATACAAAAAATGGATTTACACAAACACAAAACAAAATGTACACGGGAAGTAGAGTTAAGAGTTGTAGCATCATTATCAAAATTAATGTTTAATATTGGGATCCGTCAAATGGGCATACACCATCTAGTGGCAAAATTTATAACCCGAATGAGGGAAAAATTTACATGGGAACTGTGCACGCAAATTGTAAAATTGTTTATTAAAATAATAAAACACGTTAAAAAAGTAAAAATTTTTTTGATGATGGAGTCGACGAAGTTTTCTTCTAAAGTTAAATCAAATAAAAAGTTAATATGTTCAGTGAAAAGCTGCAATAGCACTTCAGACATAGATCTTCACTCTTCACCTACATTAACTACTTTCCAATAAAAACTAACCGTTTTATATATGTAAAAAATATATTCGGAAAATTAGAGAAAAAAGTAAACTAATAGAAGCTTGGATGAAAGCAGTAGGTATCAAAGAAGTGAATTCCGGAATAAAAATTTGTTCACGTCATTTTAATGCACATGATTATATTTCAGCAAGTATTTACCATCAGCCATAACCTTAATATTTAAAACTAGAATCATACTAAAATTATAAAGTGAGAAATTATTTATTCCTGTGTAATTGATTTAACACAATTCTAATGATACGATATAAGTATTTTGAGGTTAAGAACCTACCTGCTGCAATACAACAAAGTTGCAATAATGTGTTTGCAACGTTCTCTTAAATCGGCTTTGCACGTGCAAGTCATTGATATGATATTGCTTAAATCACCCAGAATCACCTCACCAATTATATAACGTGAATCACTTTTTAAATCCGAAGTTTGTAAAAAGTAGGCAGTAAACTTGACGGAATTTGAAGGCTAGCTTCCGGATTTGTTATTTCCGAATTTTATAATGTGATTGGCATTAAAAACACGCTCACCTTCAACGAAATTTCCTTTCCGAGGATTTGTGTCAGCCCAATCACATATTGTGTCAATACTTATCATTTTATCGTAATTTAAAAACTTGGAAATTGCATGGTACACTATAGGAACTACGATAAATTTTCCCTAATCGACGCCATCTTTTTAGGCTCCTCCCATTTGACGGATCCCAATAGGAAATTTATTTTAATCTAACCGATATAATATGAAAGTCCACATAAATTTTGTAATGATTGAATATTATGTTAGGATTCGGAGTGACAATAAGTTAAGGTTTCATCGATTCGATTCGTACTATACCATACCCAAGCATTTCTTTCGTCGTAGGTAAACAACTTTAATCAAAAAATGAAAAGGTCCTTTAACTAATACAAAATCGATGCGTCATAAGAGCCGAAGTTTTATTTTTACATCGTATTTTTCAGTATGAATACCTGAGCGATGAACTCAAAAAAAGACGCTAAAATTTATTGAGTGCTAAAATATTTATAGATTGATGTGAAATTAAATAGATGCAGAAGGGGTACTAATTGAATTATAAAAATAGATACATATTTCCAAATTATCTTAAAGCTGCTCCCTTCATTCAAATAATTACTGTAGATCACTCGGTAGATTTGTAGGAACGAGTAAACAAGAACGTGATGAATGTCGTTCCAATGAGCAGAAGGAAAAGTATTAAATGTCATCGGAAAACATATACGATTTTAATTGCTGATGAAATATTGGACATCGAGGCGTTTTGTCCTATTTTGAGTTTGAGTAATGAATCACAACAAGCAGAGCCAATGCACCGGTAGTGGAAGCCGAGATGAACTATAAATAATGCTCGGAAAGCGATTGGACGATTATAAATTATTGCGCCAAAATGACGGTCAAACGTCACCATCTAAGCCAAATTGTCGCTTGCGGAAATTAAATTCTTACATTCTTACAAAAATGTTACACATTAAGATGTTTAATGTCTACCTCAAAAGTCTTTTAAATCAAGTAAATTTCTACACTATAAAATATGATTGAATCCTCTTTCTTGATACAAAAATAATACCCGCTAGGTACCAATTGTTCCAATTGCAACAATTTTATGTTTGTGATTATTTTTTAAAGCGTCGAACATGTTTGGACAACGTAGCAGATCCATAAAAACTCGATTTAAAGAACACAAATATATCGATATTTGATAAACAATACTTTTTGAAAACTTTCACTTAATTTTTATTAAATTCTTAACAAGTTTCGACCTACAAGGCCATAAAGATTAATTAGGGATTAATAATTATCGGTTCAACGAAAAAGAACTGTATCATAATGTTAAGAATGGCTTGATATTGAGATCTAACGTGCGAAATCATCATCTATATATCAAATATGCTAGATTCGAAACATTATTGACAACAGATTACTGTTTTTCTCCAACAAATTTGCTTTCAATCTCAATGCTTGCTGTCTCGCATAACAATTTCGACAATAATAATTTCACTACTGTACCCTGTACTACACTATACTACTACTACTGCTGTGGGGTTAAAAAAACACGTTTAATTATTTTGCAAAAACAAATAGAAAAACAATGAGCACTTACCCTTCTTAGGCACCATTTTGTCAAAACCGGCCATAGTACGTAACTCCATATCGCTGTACTCCTCTATGTCCCAAGCATGCTGAAATAAAAAAGACAACGTAAAATAATTATCTCTCACTCGCTGCCAGTTTTCAATTAAATGAATTTTAATGTTCATAATAATTATATATCTCAATATGCCAAACTTTTTTTATTAGAGAGTAAAGAAAAGATAAATAAATAACGTCGAATAAAAACGATGACATGCTCACAAAATCTATGAAAAAAGCAAACAAGAGAGATTTCCTTTTGAACGAAAACGACAACAAAAATAAAAAGAATTAGTAACATCAACATTATTCAATGCAGTATACGTTCTTTTTATGTATTCTCTAATAAAATTGCTCTCCTTAGCAATCTTGGTCATCAAGTGAATCACTAGTCTTAAATTAAATCATAGTACTACACTTGTTCTACACGCAACTATCATTCAAATCAAATTTAATGTATGTAACTGACATCAAATTAGAACAACGGCATGTTCACAGTGTAATACATAAACATAATTATTTTTACTTTTATACAAAAAAAATATTAAGGGTAGAAGGGTGTGTCGAATGTAAAAAATGATACCTACATATTGAGGTTATTATATTGGTAATCATAAAACATTAACTCTTCATAATCATCATCATCATAAGGTCGTCAGTCTTAAGACTGGTTGGACACGTACCTCCACTCTTTCCTACCCTGAGCTAAACTTCGCATTTCCCAAAACTAGAACAACCCACATCCTTAACTATTTGCGAACCGTAATCTAATCTAGGTCTACCTCTACCCCTCGTAACTCCTGTTTCTGCCTCTAATATGTCTCTGACTAGAGCTTCATATCTGAGGTGTCCTACTAACTTATCTCGCCTATTTCTTATTGACTTCCATAGAGTCCTCTGTTCTCGTATTCTTTCTAATACCTCTTCATTTCTAACCTTTTCTATCCACGTTATCCTTATCATTCGCCTATAACACCCTATTTCGAACGCTTTTAACACGACCTTGCGCTATTCACTGCTTTATATCCGTACTACCCGTTCCGTCCTGACTTATCTGACTTCCACTTCTTCTAATCTTTCGTCTCCTATCTTTATATTCGCTCTTTCTCTACTTTTTCTTCCCTTGCATACCCGTATTTTAATTTTACTTTTATTTATTTCCATGCAGTACTGTTTTGTCAGTACCGCTTCCATTTTATTTAAAGCTATATCTAAGTCATCCTTGCTAAATGCTAATACTGCTATATTATCTGCAAATCTAAGCATACTAAAAAAATAATCGATATTTCAGAATGTTGAAAACCGTAATAAAACAGAAATATATTTAAGTATAACTTTTTGAAAATAGTTAACAGCTAAAACCATTGTCATGTTCATTAAATGCTGCAAAACAGATAAAATATTTATAACTGTTTCAATGAATGCAACTAAGGGGTGAAATGTTATTTATTTATTTAATTTGTATTCTTAAACCGACGTTTCGCCTTTTTGGTCGAAGGCTTTATCAANTTTAATCTGTAATCTTCAACCCGACGTATCCCCTTTTTGTACGAAGGGTTTATCAAGATAGATTACATTAGACGGAGACATGGAGAACCTTTATTGTACAATCACCGGAACATTTAACAACAATAATAAAAACATACTCAAAATCACAGACAAAAATTATAAATTCAATTCAACATTGGGGAAGATAGTACAAAGAAAATATTTATAAATTTAATTAGCATTACAATAATCTAATTAAACATTTAATTCACCCCGTCCCCTCGCAAGCAGTACCTAATAAAGCAATAAATAACATTTATTCATTTTTACCTTTCTAAATAAGGCGAAGACATGTCACCATTTCATATAAAGGTTTACTTATTCACATTGCATTTGACGCAAAGCGAGGACTACTTAATCCACAAACATTTCAATTGCAAATAAAATAAAAAGACGTCCACAACTTCATTTGAATTTATAACGATCTTAAATGTACATACATAAATAATTCATACTTTTGTCATATGTGAGGATAATTTTATTAAAGGAAGTTAGTTGATTGGTTATCAATCCTTATACTGTTATATGTTTACTGTTTATAACCAGTGCAAGTAATTAAAAATCAGTTTCTAAAGGAATGAAATTGTTAAAAATATAAGTGTTTATTCTAACAGCGTAAATTGTAGGTATATTATTTCGCGATGCTCTCTTTTTTTTTTAACTTTTAGTGATTTGTAATTATCTCTCATAATTGCTTTGGTCTTAATATGTTACTGTTAGAAGCTATAGTACAGTACACTGTTTATCATAGTAACTCCTTGAGAATGATCAAGAGACCGAAACAAATGTAAGAGACAAGAGGCAATTAAGGAGAAATATTGTGAAAAGTAGTTGATAATTTAAAATTGGTTATTGCCCATCATTTTGAGCTTAAAATGACATCACATAATTTATCGTATTTTTCTCGTCATACCCTTTTATTCGACACTCACGCCAAGAGGTTCTGAATAATCGGCCATCTTAAGACGTCTACCATTTTAAATTGATTCAATATTTCACAATAACCTTTATTACAACTCGTGGATTATCTTTTTTAAAACTTTAGTAAATTGAAAAATATTTTTATATCTACAAATTCGTTCCAAATTTTCAGAAAATAACGAAAGCAAATTTTGTTATAATTAACGAGAAACAAAAATGAACATACAACAGTTTAAAATGTCCATTTCAACGGAAAATACGACTTGGTCTTACACAATTCGGACATTACTGTGTACCACAAAATTAATTTATTATATTCCTTAAAATTTTACAACATATGCGACCTTTTAGTTTATTTTCATCTTGTTAACCAACAACGGTGAGCTCAACAAGAAAGCGTTTCTACGCTTTTATATATTATAGTAGTTGAAACACATCAAACGAGACAATATTTAATAAACTACCAAAAATTCTATATTTTTAACTTTAATTACGCAATAATGATTTATTTTTTGATCTGGATCTCAACGAGATTTTTTTGTTATCAAAATCTCATCGTTGATTATCTGAACTTAAAGAAAGTGCACTTTTAGGATTGTTCTCTGTTCTTTTTGTTCTTTTTAAAATATTCCATAAAAAAAATAATTTATCTCAAAAAAGTATCAATCTACAGGAAAACCTACGTCACAAGTGATCTAATTGCATCACGCAAAATGTTAATGTTTACATCAAAGTCCAAAAAAAGTTTATAAGTAAATAAACTGTTGCTCCTTTTAGACAACAAAAATCAATTAGGTCTGGCAGTCACTAAGTTTACTTCACCAAAATGTAGGTCAATTGTAAAAAGTGTGCAATAATTAGAAATTGCGCTTGCGGCTGTCCAGAAATATCCACTAGTAAAATTTTTAGAACCGACATGACACGAGATGAAAAGCCTTGAGTTTAATAACTGACCATCTGAAATTAACCAATTTTACGAGTTCTGTACGAAGACGTTTAGAAATAATAATCAATAATCATGAACACCTTAGATAGCAAATTCGTACTGAACCTACGTATGCATTAATCTTACTTTTTGTTAAATTATTTTGCAATGATTTAATGCTTTTGAAAATTAATGATCGTGAAAAACTAAAATAATAAATGGAAAAATGAATAAAATTCAAACGAATAAAGGGAAGCTTATATGAAAAAGTATGAACCTATTAAGGTATCCAAATACAATCAAGAAAATATTGTAAATACGAATACACAGCATTTCCTTATGATAAGAAATCCCATTTACTACGTATTAGGAAAGGATTTTATCATCCCCTTCGTCGTTACCATCCTCGCTCTAGCCACAGATGTTAAAATACTTTCCTAATAAATAGTAAATACGATTCCTTACCTAGGAGGTTATATTGCCTTTTCTTCGTATCTGACCGTCAGGAAGAAAGTGCGATAACCTCACTCGGGAGTTTGCTGTTTCTTAGGAAGGAATTGCTACCTTGACTTTAGCTAGTTCACACCCGGGAGGGAATGTCGTACTGTCTTCCCATTGCATGTATAAGATGTGGACATCACATCTGAGAGGGAATGCCGTACTGTCCCCCCTTGGTATACATACATAACATGCTATTGTTTAGAAAAGAATAGAATATTGCTCATCAAGAGAAGTATGGCAAACCCTCTGGTGTAGATATCACACCTGAGAGGGGAATGCCGTACTGTCTTCCCTTGGTATACATATATAACATGCTATTGTTTAGAAAAGAATAGTAATTGCTCATGAAGGGAAGAAAGTATGGCACATCCTCTTGTATGGAAATCACACCTGAGAGGGAATGCCGTACTGTCTTCCCTTGGTTTACGTGTATAACACGCTATTGTTTAGAAAAGAATAGTATATTGCTTATTAAGGGAAGAAAGTATGGCACACCCTCTTGTGTGGATATCACACCTGAGAGGGGAATGCCTACTGTCTTCCCTTGGTATACATACATAACATGCTATTGTTTAGAAAAGAATAGCATATTACTCATCAAGAGAAGTATGGCACACCATCTGGTGTGGATATCACACCTGAGAAGGGAATGCCATACTGTCTTCCCTTGGTATACATATATAACATGCTATTGTTTAGAAAAGAATAGTATATTGCTCATTAAGGGAAGAAATTATGGCACACCCTCTTGTGTGGATATCACATCTGAGAGGGAATGCGGTACTGTCTTCCCTTGGTATACATATATAACATGCTATTGTTTAGAAAAGAATAGTATATTGCTTATTAAGGGAAGAAAGTATGGCACACCCTCTTGTGTGGATATCACACCTGAGAGGGGAATGCCATACTGTCTTCCCTTGGTATACATACATAACATGCTATTGTTTATAAAAGAATAGAATATTGCTCATCAAGAGAAGTATGGCACACCCTCTGGTGTGGATATCACACCTGAGAGGGGAATGCCATACTGTCTTCCCTTGGTATACATATATAACATGCTATTGTTTAGAAAAGAATAGTATATTGCTCATCAAGGGAAGAAAGTATGACATTCCCCCTCGTGTGGCAATTACACCCGAGAGTCAATGTCGTCCCTTGGTATATAACATTATATTGTTTAGAAAAGAGTAGGATATTGCTCATTAAGGGAAGAATGTACGCCATTTCCTCTCGTGTGACAATCACACCTAAGAGGGAATGTCGTACTGTCTTCCAATGGTTTGTATAACATGCTATTATTAAAAACAAGGATACTATATTGCTCATCAAGGGAGAAAAGTATGGAATCCCCCTTCGTGTGGCAATTACACCTGAGAGGGAATACCATACTGTCTTCCCATGGTTTGTGTAACATGCTACTGTTTATATCGTCACAACAATTACGCAAGTATTCAAAATTTTAGTTAATTCAGGCAACGATAACTGGTTACCTGGTTAGTAAATGATTTGTAGAAGCAAAATATTTAGTGAATAAAGAGGCAGTTTCATCTTAGTTTTTAATTCGAAAACATTTTTACAAAATTATATCCTGCTTATATAACGAGATTATATATGGCATTCTATAAATATTCTAAATTTAACGGCAATTAATAAATGACACTACCATATATCTTTTTTTCTTTAACTAGTAATGTGGCTCCACTATTAATCACTAACTGCAAATTATCTTAGGGTTTTTTCACCAGTATGTATGTTAATTTTGTGTTGGGGGATTAATTAAATTTTATGACAATAACTTTTTTAAAGAACAAATGAATTTAGATGCCTGATTCTATAAGCAAATTAATTTAGTTTGTTTGTTTAACTTTTTGTATAGCTATTAATGTACTGTTTTAAAAAATTTGTATTAAGGGCAGAAATACAAAAAAAAAACAATAAACAACATTAACCATCAGTTATAGATAGATCTTTATTTTTCAAAAATATTATGACAATAAGTTTAAGTATTCTTCAAAAATTTTAATTTATGCACTAGTATGCATTAAAGAGTTTAATTTGAAAAAAAGATAACTTAATCCACTCTTAATGTAAAAAAATATATAAAGGAAAGGTTCACTGATTAAAAAAATTGAATTAATTAGGCCTACATAGTAAAGTTTTTAAATTATTACACTGTTAGCATATGAAAATAAAATATATTTCAGTTTTTTCATATAAAAAAAAAATATCCAATTATGCTATTAATTCATTGTTTCTGTAAAGCATGCATAAAATTATGTAATGTATTTTACTGTTACAGATTAAATAAAGTTAATGGAGAAACGACAAATCCTACTTACCGGATCCACTTCAACAGACAAAGGTGTGATCACTTGAGGATTGGGTTGTGGCAAAGTAATTTGTCTTTGGGAGTTTTGAGTACTATTGGACACGAAGGACTGCTGAATATTATCGGCGTAAGTATCCTCTTCTTGTTCTTCTTCATAGTATTCTTCAAAGCATTGTACAGGTTCGTTTGCATCTGTAAATACTTGACAAAGTTTTGACATAATCTCTTCCACCTGAAACAAAATTAATACACCAATAAAATATACACAATCACAGTAAATTCAAGTTAAATTAATGATGCAACTTATTTAATTTGTTCTTTATTTACCTGAGACATACTGGGCCTGTTAATAGGGTTTTGATCCCAGCATTGGGTCATGAGATTTTCCAGTAGTGGAGGACAATTTCTGATAAGTGGAGGTCTTATACCTTTATGAACTGCCCACATTATTCTAAATGCTGAACCACCAATGTGGTAAAAGGGCTTACGCCTGGACAGAACCTCCCATAAAATTATTCCCCAGCTAAAAACATCACATTTTTCAGTGTAATTTGAAGATGTAAACACCTGTAAATAAGAAAAAAATATTAGTTCAATTAATAGTTTATTAAGTTATAAAAAAAAATAAAAAACAACAGGAAAATCGCCAACACAAACCTCTGGGGCCATCCAAGCTGCGCTGCCTTTATTATTGGTCATGTATGTACTTTTATCTGCAGCTGTACCAAAATCACAAATCTTTAACTTTGTACCTCCATCAATTAATAGTAGATTTGGTGGTTTTAAATCCCTATGAATAAGTGGCTTTGGTTTCATCGAATGCAAATATGCAACACCCTGTGGAATAGCAATAAGTATTAAATATAAATGTGTACATAAATCTTTCTCTGATTACCTGTGCACATTGTAATGCCCATGATAATGCATGATCTATTGTATATCTTACTTTTGGGGGAGAATGCAAGATGTTAAACAATGATCCTCCTTCTGCATATTCCATAACCAGGCAAATATAAGGCCCTTTAGTACAAGCTCCATATAATCTTACTATGTTCTCATGACTCACTCGAGACAATTGTCGTACTTCTACTGCAAATGCTTTCTTTTCTGCTTCTGTTGTAATATTCTTGACAGCTACATTGATATCTCTCCACACAGCTCGATATACAACACCAAAACTACCTTCTCCTACACACTAATAACAAATAAAAAATATAAACATTTTTTGCATGATTTCAAAAGCTGAAAATTGCAGAAAATAAAAAAATTACCCATAAAGAAGATATCACAAACTAACCTCTTTCACCTGAATTTCATTGCAATCAATTTCTTCAACAAACTGTTGGCCTTCTGTTTCTTCATGGTTAAAAGCCGCCATTTATAATTAATTAATTACATTTTACTGAAAACAGCTATTCTAATCCCTTTTGTTGCATTTTGTATTTTTTCATTAACTTTTGGTTAATTTCATTATGTTGCTGTCATTATCTGTCAGTGCACAGACTTGTTAATAGTGAAATCGAAGTAGCAACATTGAGAAGACAAAACTTCTTACCTAAAATTAGGAAGTATTCATACATACTCTCACTGCAGATTAATTTCGCAGAATCACTTGTAGAAATTTCAATTAGACGTAACAGATCAACAAAGCTTTCGAGTTCAAAAGTCATTAGTAAACGCCAAAAGTTTGATAAAAGTGTATCTGTTTTGCCATTTCTTCCCAAAAAAATGAGCATATCGAAAAATAAGGCAGACACATTGGTTGAAAACGAAGGTGAATCAAACGACGAATTAGTTATAGCAGCTTCTTCAAAAGCTTGCCGCGGCCAAGCTAAAGAAATATTAGAGAGTGAGGGTAAATGAGTGAGAGTAAATCAGCAGACCTTTTTTATGCTAATTACGACCGTTATTATATAAGGTGAAGAAGAACTGATCAACTTTTTCTTTATTTCGGTACAATTTGGAAACTTACGAGCTGTAAACGATTGCTTGAATTGTGGTATATCCCCAAATATTCGCCAAGCTGATACCACGAACGCCCTTCACGTAGCTGCAGAACAAGGAAATCTAAACATGGGGCGCTTATTACTTACTAGGTGCCCACATATAAATTGTATTAGAAACAGAACTACCGACATTCTTACAAAGGAAAGATGAAATTTAAGTTGTTGTTGGAAAAATCAGTTTCCCAGCAAAAATGTAAAAAGGAATTTGTTCGACATTATTATTTTTTTTAATTTTATTGTATAATATAAAAAAGGTTTCTTGTCCCAAGGGAAGAAACTGATATTCATATGAAAACAAACAAAGGATATACACCACTTCATATGGCTTGTTATTTTGGAAAGAAAACATTTGTCGAACTATTGTTAAGTAATAACGCGAATCCAAATTGTGAAACATTAAACAACAGAACTCCTCTTCATATAGCAACAATAAGACAAAACTACGAGATACTTTCCCTTCTTTTGGGTAACAGTGCAAATCCAAACGTTTTGGACAGCTTTTGCGACACTCCCTTATCAAACTGCATAATTAGGAAACCTAACTTCAAAATGGCTGCATTACTAATAGTCGATTACAAGGCCGATACCAACCTTCACTGCGAAAAACATATGCATATCATATTAAGTTAGTTTTCATGATTTTTATTTTCTTCTATTTTACCGACTTTTATTTCGTAATTGCATTTTCTTTTTCTGTTTAGTTTAAAAACTCAATACCAATACTCTATTTGAACTTGATGTAATACAAAAAAAGTATCCGATCATATACCATTATCGCATCTAAAACTTTAATTGGCTAAATTGAACATCCTAAGTCTGAATTACTTTGGCCATTAATTTGTAGTAGAAGGATTTCAATACATTTCATTCTACAAAATTGAATAAAAGGTCAATTTTGTCTATAGATTTGGCTCAGTCTTGTCACACTCAAAATGAATTGAAGTTTGTTCAATTACTCATTGATAACGGGGTGGATTATCATGCAACTCATCCGATTACAAATAAAAATGCACTTCATTTTGCGGCAATGACTGGTTATGAACCAATCATTTCGTTATTACTTGAATACGGTGTTAGTACAACGCAAAGGGATGTTTGGAATCGGACTCCTCTACAAGTGGCTGAACAACATGGAAATGAGAATGCAATTGATCTTCTACTAGCCTATGAAACTCTACAATTTCCTAATAAACTTTGACATTTACATTTTATGTGAATGTTAATATTATAAATATGAATAGATATAATTTTAATTTCATTAAATTTTTTTATTTTGGTGAATAACTACAACATTAACCATCA